AAAAATATACCAACAGGGAAGCGAAATGATGACCTAGGCTGACGCCACAGCACTCTAGCCTGGGCAACACAGTGAGACTCTGTCTCAAAAAAAAAAAAAAAAAAAAAAGATTCTTGCTCATATCTCCTTGAACTCAAAGGGAGTTTTCTCTAGGTTATATACCTGGGAGTTGAATTGCTGGATCAAAGAAAATATGAACATCTTCTAATTTCCATCTTCAGTTTAGTAGATATTGCCCAATTGCTTTTTGTAGTAACTTCACAACTTACTAGCTGGGAGTTGTTTCAGGTTGTCAGTGTCCAGCTGACATTTACAAAGTGGGCACTATCATGCCATTTGGCCACAGACTGGGAATGTTAAAGGTCTAGCATCATGCCTGGAACCAACTGATGCTCAATAAATGTGGGTTCTTTGCCTTTTCACCTGTTGTCTGTTTGCTTCTGAGTCCCACATTGACTAGCATGAAACTAACAGTTTATTGCATGACCCAAGGCTGGAAGTCTGGTTACATGGAGCTGTTGGAAAATGGCAGAGAGAGTCCTGGACTTAGAATCAAAAAAGATGTGGGGTTTAGCTTTGCTTCTTTCTGTTTCTACCTTGCTGTAAAACCTTAAGCACATCATTTCTCTTCACAGTCCTAAATTTCTTGACTTTTAAAATGAATTGGCTGATAGAGTTACCATATGGCCCAGCAATATTATTCCTAGAGAATAAAATTGTAACCAAGAAAAGCCAAAGTATATGTTCATAAACAAATGTGTATAGCAGCACTATTCATAATAGCTCAAAAGTAGAAACAACTGAAATGTGTATCAACTGATAAACGGATAAAGAAAACATGGCATATTCATACAATGGAATATTATTTGGCCATACAAAGGAATAAAGTACTGATACACGCTGCAGCATGGATGACCCTTTAAAACATTATGCTGCCAGGAGTGATGGCTCACGTCTGTAATTCTAGTACTTAGGGAGGCCAAGGTGGGAGGATCACTTGAAGCCAGGAGTTGGAGACCAGCCTGAGCAGCATATCAAGACCTTGTCTCTACAAAAATAAATAAATAAATAAATAAATATTAACTGGGTTTGGTGACACGCACCTGTAGTCCCAGCTCCTCAGGAGGCTGAAGTGAGAAGATGATTGAGCCCAGGAGTTTGAGGTTGCAGTGAGCTATGATGATGCCAATGCACTCTAGCCTAAGCAGTAGAGCAAGACCCTGTCTCAAAAAAAACCAAAAAAACAAAAAAACAAAAAAAACCCAACCAAAAAACAAACCATTATATTAAGTGGAAGAAGCCAGACACAAAGGACTACATATTATACTATATGACTCCATTAATGCCAGATATCTGGAACAGGGAAATCTACAGAGACAGAATGTAAATTAGTGGTTCCTTAGGGTGGGGGTGGAGGGTGGGGGCGTGGTAGGGGCTTTGGGTTGGGGATGGAAGAATACTGGAGTTATACCGAATGGGTGTGGATTTTCTTTTTGAGGTGATGAATATGTTCCAAAGTTCACTATGGTGATATTTGCACACACCTATGAAAATACTAATAACCATTGAACTGTACATTTTAAATGGGTGAATTCTATAATATGTGAATTACATCTCAATAAATCTCTTTAAAAAATAATTGGTTGAACATAACAACCTTTCAGAATCAAACTGTAGGTAATATTTAAAAATTATGAACCTATATGGCAGATATATGCATGTTCACTATGCAATTCTTTGAACTTTTCTATACATTTGAAAGTTTTCATCATAAAATGTTGGCATTGGGGAGCCTGTAAACAATTTGTTAAATCTGATTTTTGAAAAGCTCAAATCATTTTCATGGATAATTCTCATCAGATCGTAATTTCTCTGAAGGTAGAGACCATGTCTATATCTTTACCTGCCGTATCTCCAGCATGTACACTATTGTCTGGGATGTTACAAGTATTCAGTACACACTAATTGAATTAGTGAATCAATACATAAGCATATCGAATGCGATATGAATAAACGAATAAGTAGCTGGTAACAATGGGTGTCTGAAGTCCTAAGCCAATAGTAATCCTTAAAAAGTAGACCATCCCAAAATCTTCCTGTTGGTTCTACAAATGACAATAATATTAAAAATAATAACTAACATTTATGGAGAGGTCATTGAGTGTGAGGCAGGGGCAGATCCAGGTTTCGTAGAAGGTGAAGCTTATACAATTAAGAAAAAGAATACAAAATAAAAAAATACAAAATAAGATGCACAGGCGAACATTTATTTAGTATGAGAAAATAAATCCCAACCAATTACAATATTTAAAAGCTGATAATTACCACATGAAAATTCCCAGTTTGAAAGTATACAACGTATTTTTATTCATTTACCACCTGACACAGCTCTGCAATACTTCTTGCCCTATATCCTTTGATCTTCTCTTCACATGACAATATTTTACAGTTTAGAAAAGTCTTATTTCAAACTCACAACAGTTGTAGTCTTAGTATTGTCAAGTCTGGGGAAACCCTAATCACATTTCTTTCACGAATGAATTAAAGTTACAGGGCATTGCAAACCTTTTAAAGCAATAACTAATCTTAAATATTCTTTGAATTGTTGACACTCATTACTCAGGGAAGGGTTTGTGCCCGTGAGGAGCCTCTGAAGCTTAAGCTTCGTTAGACTTATGGTAAATCCACCTCAACAGCTATGCTTAACTCCTTTTAAGGGAAAGAATAATACCCGCTTTGCTACGCGAATGAGGGAATGCTGATAAAGCAAGACTGGGACTCAGACGTGGCAACCTGATTGCGAGGGCCTTGCATGTCTCTTTTAGGAGCCTTCCCGTTATTATCTACCCTACTTATTTTATAACATAAAAACATTGAGGTTCTAAGAACTGAGAGTCGGGAGTCTCATTTG